CATGCAATGCCGCCATGACGATGCAAGTTTGACACCCCTGCTTTAGTGTCTTGGATACTTAGCATTGAAACCATACAAAGTAGAAGGAGGGAGTTCTGTTTAGGATTTTCATATAGCTAGCAGGTATATGAAACAGGTAAAAATCAACATTAAGAAAGATGAGTTCAAGGTTTAGTTCAATTTTAAGCAACATGTTATCATATAAATAGAACAATTTAGGAACAAGAAACCAAATTATCCAGATTATAGAACAAGAATATGTTAAAGGTTCTGAGCATTTGTATGCAAGGTATGCTGAATACTATAATGGCATTGGAATGGGCCCAAGTAAAAGCATTTATCCTCAAGGCTACTTGTCCCAATAAATGCAGATTATATTGTTTAAATTAGGTTGTGATTACTGGCCTAGTTGGAAGTAACAGCCTATTCTCGAACTGAACACTTTCCCCAAGACACTCTACAAGAAATCAGCTACTTTTTCATTTTTTCTACTCTTTGACCTTTGGATTGGGGATGTTAGCATTTGTGGCATGCTTAATAGTGGCATTCCTAGTTCAAAGACTGAGTCTGGAGTTGCAAGGTCTAAGGCAGTGTTTCTCAAATTTAGCAACTTTAAAATGAGTTCAATAGGCTTGGTGTTGGCTGGGGAATTTTGGGAAATGAAGTCCACTCATCCTAAAGTTGCCCATGTTTAGAAACTCTGCTGTAAGGGAATGGAAAACAATTTTGCCAAGAAACTAGAGTTAAATTTTGATTTTTCAATGCTGAAATCACCAGCAAGGTCCTAGAATTCCCTCCTTGTTTCTCTCATCTTGATTATCACTGGGAGAAGGAAAAAGAAAAAAGCAAGATAATTTCTCTAAACTTAGGTGTAGCAAAACTAAAGTATCATGGTGAGGTTAAAATAAAAATTAACATTAAAAAGAGAGGAAACCATATGTCCAATTTAAAACATGCTGATTGAATCAGAATTTTAAAGAAATTAATATAATTTACAATCACTTAATTATAAGTTGATGAATAAAATTATTCTTTCTTTCTGTAGTTTTACATTATACATCTAGATTTGTACATTGCTGTATCAAAATAAAAATATTGTCAAAATATTTGCAACTCTTCCAAACTGATACCAAACATGCTTGTATTTTTAGGATTTTAAATATTTTATTCATTTATTCAACATTTTGAACTGCCAATCTAATAAAATGTAATCAGAATGTAATTTTTCCATCTTTGTGGTGCATCTAATTTCATGATTAAAATTGTGCCTGTTAAATAAATAATAGTACTGTATACTGTTTTTGATTTTGTCATTAAAATTAATGTTAAACTAAAGGTTACATGCATTCATGTGTAGGCAGCCAGTTTGGTCTAGTGATTAAGGCACCAGATTAGAAAACAGGAGATTGTGAGTTTGAGTTCCACCTTGAAAGACAGCCGGGTGACCTTGGACCAGCCCCTCTTTCTCTCAGGGTGGTTGTTATGCAGAAGATAGGAGGAAGAAAGTGGGTTGGATATGTTTGCCACTTTGAGTTACTTGTAAAATTAATAAAAGGTGAGATAAAAACAAACAAAAATAAAATGTGTAACTTTCTGCATTCTTTAAAAAAAGTTTATCTAGAGGACAACCCAAATATTTTGTACAATTCATTTTGTCTTCAGCTTCTTTTTTTCCCCCATAAGGAAAAGTATGCTGCTCCCTGTAACTTTCTCCTGTAGGGAAAACAGCAGCTAAGCAGAATACATGTTTGCAGTGATGTGTGCTTTAGAAAATGATATAATAATCATCTCAATGTCTGTTCAAGATTGCCATTTCCTACAACTGCTTTGCACCTTATTTGGTAGATTAATGAATATTGTTGTAAACACTTTATTATCTCATAAAATGATTTGTACCCAGACAACACACTGTTCAATTGAAATTGGAATTTTTGTATGTAAAAAAAATAAATAAAAACTTATTACAAAAAAAAAAAGGATAAAAATCAAATAAACATCCAGCTTCAAAAAAAAAAAAAAGAATTTGGGGAAAACTTCATTTTGTCAAAAATATTATCAAATGATACACTCAAAATTGAAAACATTTTATCTCAACAATGTGGATGCAAAAACATACTAGGGAGAATTTGATTCAGTACTTGTTGCTCTGAATTGATAATGGCCAAATCTGGGACAAGACTGATGCTGTCAAATTTATTTTAGTTGCTTTTTACTCTTCTGGACCATTTAGTACATTTAATTTAATTTCTACTGCCAGCTGAAGAGAAGCATTTTTATTTTGTGTGACACAAAAAAGATTTGCTTTGGTTCTCTTGGGAGTGAAAAAGTCTCCATTACTTAGACTGTCTGTGAATATATATGTTATTGAGTGAATGGCCAGTGTTAAAATACAAATGACAATTGACACACAGCAAGATGTCTTCGAGGATGACCTTCCCCAATCTGGTGATCTTTAAACGTGTGAACCCTCACTTCTCACAATCTCTAGAAAAACACATTTGAAAGACACCAAAATAGAAAAAGATTTGAGATTTGAACCTCAACCACTGACGTCAACCATGAAAAAAGCAAACTGGCAAGAACCTAAACAATCACTTAAATTCCACATCTTATAAAAAACTAGTGACATATTTTATTTTTAATATCCTATCCACACTAGAAAGCCAGTTTGGAACATATTTCTTTCTGATACTGAACTTGAGAAATTGCTGCAATAACTCTGCTCAGCCTACTACCTTAATTAATTTTCTCAGTTGTCAAAATGTCATGGGTTGCCAATACAGCCTGCTTTCTCAACTTCCTGGTATTATAAATAAATTACAAATAATTGAGTCAACAGCAAAAAAAAGATATATTTCACAAATCTCCTTGGGGATTGCCCTGCACATTTGATTGAAATATAGCCAGGGCATTTATTACCTTACACTGAAGCCTTTTCTTTGGAGAGGATCTGACAACTGAGGTACAGCTCTTGCATTTGTGAGAAGATATTGTCTATTTAGGGAACCAGAATCTGGATGATTAGCAGATGACAGCAAGAATTAAAATCTTATTTAAAATATGCTATCAGTTGGGATTTTTGCAACCAGCTCTAAGGTGTTCCATTGACACAACACTTTCATAAAGCAATAAAGCAAAGACAACTATTTACAATGTGGAAAACTCTTATTGTCATCAGATTTATGGCTAGCAAGTTATGAATAATTTTCCTTGGTTTATCTTCTTAATAGCATTTTGATACCAGATTTGATGGTCCTAGTCACAGCTTCATTGGCAAAAGATTTTCTCCTCCTCAAAAATATCATTTAAAAAATATTTCCTTCCATCCCAAATTAAAGTTTATAGAAGAAAAAGAAGAAAACATTAGGACAGGGACGGTAGGCACACTGGTGCGCTTATGCATGCCTCTTATAGACCTCTTAGGAATGGGGTGAGGTCTACAGTAGACAGTCTAAGGTTAAAGTTTTGGGGATTTGGGGAAGAAACCACAGAGTCAGGTAGTGCATTCCAGGCATTGATCACTCTTGCTGAAGTCGTATTTTCTGCTGTCTAGTTTGGATTGGTTTAACATGAGTTTGTATCTATTGTGTGCTCTTGTATTGTTTTGGTTGAAGCTGAAGTATTCATTGGCTGGTAGGACATTGTAGCAGATGATTTTATGTACTATGCTTAGGTCAGACCGAAGACGGCGAAGTTCTAAGTTGTCTAAGATTTTGAGTCTGGTGGCATAAGGTATTTTGTTGCCAGCAGAGGAATGGAGGACTCTTCTTGTGAAATATCTCTGGACTTGTTCGATTGTATTAATGTCCGAGATGCAATGCGGGTTCCAGACAGATGAGCTGTATTCAAGAATTGGTCTGGCAAAAGTTTTGTATGCCCTAGTTTGCAGTTCAATATTACCGGAGAAGAAGCTATGCAAGATTAGGTTAACAACTCTTAATGCTTTTTTAGCAATGCTATTACAGTGAGCTCTGGCACTTAGATCATTTGAGATGAGTACTCCAAGGTCTTTGACAGAGTGAGGATCGTATGTTAGGTCGTATCCATCCAGCTTGTATTTTGTGTTCTGATTTTTTTTGCCAATGTGTAAGACAGAGCATTTGTTGGTTGAGATTTGGAGTTGCCAACTGTTTGACCATTCTGACACATAGTTGAGGTCTTTTTGTAGAGTAGCAGCATTGTCAGTGGTGTTGAATAGTTTTACATCATCCACAAAGAGAACACAGTTGTTTATAATATGGTCACAGTACTTATATAAAGTACTGTATAGTACTGTGGGTCCTAAAATGCTGTCTTGGAGGACACTGCTGTTAACAGGTTCTTCTCCTTTTTTTTGGAACATTCATGTAGCTTTGTGTAATAGAAAAACACTGCCCTGGTTTATGCAACCTGATAAACCCATAGTGTTTGATTTGGTTTTAACTTAATAATGATGTATAAATTATGATTCATATACAGGTAGTCATTGAGTTATGAATGTAATGGAGCCTGCCCATTCCATTGGTAACCCAAGGATTTGTAGGAGTGAACTGAGTAATTTGAACACAATCACTCCCTCCTTTCGCCCATGCATTCGCTAATCAAATGTGTAGCTCATTAAGTGCACATTAGGTAACTCAGGATGGGGAAGGCCATGGGGGCCCCTCGTGATGGAATAGGCCACCTGCTTCAGACCACCCACTCATAACATAAAATTAAATAACTGGGCTAGTTGTACACTATGTATGTGTAACTTGGCATGTAACACAATTCTCTGAATGCTGCTACTTTTAAAAAAATTCACATCTCTTTAAATTGCAGTTCAATGGTTGAATAAATGCAAATTACCTTTCTACCAGTTTTCTGCTTATAGACTATCACCAATGCTACAAGCAAATTGTTTCTGTTGAAAACATGGACTTTCAACTAATAGCTATGCTCAGAATTGCAATCTTACTGTCTTGGCCTGCTAAGTCTAGCAATTGCCCTTTCATTCATTCCTAGGCCTGTTTTGCACTTACTTTGTAATTCTACATGAGACTGTCAAGCTTGGGTTGCTCAGGTGATTAAGTAAAACAAATTAAGTGGGTTCAGGCTGCCCTTCTAAACTCAGTCATCTAGAAGTTTTGTATAGTGCAGATTGGGTAGGTAATCAATTTCTGGTGAGTCTGGAAAGGAAAAAACAACAACAAAACACATCCTTTGCTGTTTGCTATGTACCGAACAGTTATCTTGTATTTCTCAAACATTAAAGGTAGGAAACCAATTTTCTCTTCTGTGTTTTGAAATTAACTTGGCCTTTTGTCAAAAAACATAGCATTCTGTACAGCCAGATTTCTAAAATAAGAAAGATGAGCAGAACATTTGTATCTTGTCACATGGATTGATGTTAGATGGGATCAGATTGTAATGAGAACTGATATTAACTCTTGTTTGGTTCTTATCAGTCTTAGAAGAAATGTTATTTCATCTTTGTGAAAAGTTTCCAGGAATTTCTCTGGGTTTTATTCTTTATCCTTATTGTGCCAGCCTAATCTTTCAGATCTTAGGAGAGGCAACGTCTCAGAGAAGTAGTTATACAAACAAGGGCCTTCTTGTGAAGTTCTTGTGTTCTCTGAATTTAGTTGTTTACTTGCAGATGTTTCATTACCTAACAAGGAAACAGCATCATCATCACAGTGTGGGGTTTGCTCTGTGTTTATATACAGTAGCTTGATTGTTTATCTAGTGTTAATCCCTGCTTATCTGGGTGTAGACTGCTAGAAAGCATGTGTTCTTGTCTTTTTGTTTCCTACTTAGCCTATTTATTGATATTTTTGAATAGTGTATAAGTGTGATTTATCTCTATGTGTCTATTGATGGCTGATTTGTCTGAGTGCCAAGCTTCCAGAAATTCCTTAGCATTTTTAGATTGTAGAGCTTTTTAGAGCTTAGCCTGGGATCCATCTGGTTTCCTAGTTAAAACTATGGATGTGTTGTGCTTTTCTTGGTTATGGGCAAGATGCATCAGATATTTTCAGTAGTTCATTTTCATCATTTGCTTAATGTGGATCTGGGAGAGAAAGATTTGGGGCATCCATAAGAAAACAATTAAAATGCAGAATTTCTTTTTCTAAACAGGTATCTTAATTCAGTTAATTCACTAAAATGCATTTAACTGGCTTGCATAAAAGACAGTCCAGGAAAGTGCAACCCATCCTTAGTCAAAGATGACAAGTCACCAGACCCTGGGTGGGGTGGGGGAGGCAAAAACCCAAAGTCACTCGGTCTTGCCAGGGTTGAGCCAATGACAGTCCATCCCATCCAGACCCTTACAACCTTCAGGCATTTAAATAACTGGTCAAAAGGAGAACCACCACAGAACATCCCATTCCTACCTCCCAGATCCAATCCAGAAAGACAAAATAGTCAATGATATTGAAAGTCCCTGAGAGATCCAGGAGAGCCACAACAATTGTCTGACTCCCATCGTGAATTTTCCAGAGGTTATCGACAGGCATGATCAATACTGTCTTAATAATACCTTGGCCTGAACCCAAATTGAAAAGGCTCCAAATAATCTGCATCATTTCATTCCAATCACCATCTCAACAATTTTCCTGAAAAAAGCAAGATTGGAGACTGGGCAAAACTTAACTAAAACAGCTGGGTTCAAGGCATGTGGCACTACCCCTTTCCACAAAGAGGCATTAATCACCAATTGGACCCAACCACATGCTATTTCCAGGGAGCTTTAACCAACCAGGAAGGTATGGGGCCAAAACACAGGTAGCCAAGCTCACATCCATGAGGATCCTGTCAACTTTCTCAAGATCAAGCAAGTTGAATTCCTCCCAGAGAACAGGTCTTAGGCATACCTTTGTCACCTTCCAAGGATGTGCCCCAGCCACTGTCAAAGCAAAGTCCCGCACTGCACTCTGTAGTGCCTGCCTACAGCCTTCTCAGCCCGCCTGTGCTCTGTAGTTCTTGCATGTGGTCTCTGCTGACTTGCTCATGGCCCCTGCTTACTTGCCCACAGCCTGCACTGACCTGCCTCTTAACCAGGGGTGAAATCCAGCCGGTTCTATCTGGTTCAGGCAAACCGGTAGCTGCAGCTGCAGGAGGCTCCGCTCATCCACGTGGACATCAGGACATTGCTTTTTTGCGACATTTTAAGCCTCTGTGCATGTGCAGCTTTGCTGGCTGAGGAATTCTGGGAGTTGAAGTCCACAAATCTTAAGGTTGCCAAGGTTGGAGACCCCTGCTCTAAACTGTAGGCCTGAGTTTACAAGCCATATTATCTGGACTTTTTATAATAACCAGATAAAAGATTTGATTATTTAATTGCCATGTGAATCTAGATGAGCAGCCATCAGATCTGGGTTGTAAGTACCTTATTTGGGAATAGTTGTAACTTTGAATGGTTGCTAAGTGACTGATCCTAAGTCAAGGACTACCTGTAAACTTTTTACAATGAAGAAAAGAATTAACATGGCAAAAAGAGCATCCAAGTTTGTTTGATAAAGCAAATATATTTGCTCTTCAATTTTTCAGTATCAGAGTGTGATGTTATACCAAAGGTAGGTAACCTGTTGCTCACCAGATATATTTTACCTGTACTTACCTCCTCAGTTATACAGTATTCAGCTCTAAGTAGCATTGACATTGGCAAAGGAGTGTGGAATTATAGGCCAGAATATTGGGGACCAGGAGAGGAGTGCATGAGTTTGCTTTTCTCTGCTTAATTTTGCAGCAACATTTGGTTGTTGATTTGGACTTCAATAATCCACATGAATGCAGATGGCAGAAAAGAATTATAAAAACTACATCTAATGTTGGGACAGACTTTTTCAGCCCATATCTAATGGCCCTGCACAGATACTCAACCAGTTTTCCTGCTAATGGCTGCCTATGCACAACATACTAAGATTTATTATTTTTAAGTGTAATTAGTGTTGTTTATGTGATGCTTTCAGGCCATTTGATTAATCAATGGTTTGGAAAAATTATTACTTCAGCAACCATGACGTTGTATGGATATAGCCTCTCTTGATCAGGGACGATGATACAGAAAAATGATTATTATTTTTATTTGAAGGTTTCTCATATGCCTTTTTGTTTACACCACTTGAAATTCAGCAGAGTGAATTTAACCAGATGACTTTAATTACCTTAAAATAAAGTTGCTTCTGTAACAGAAGCTTTTAGCATTACACAAAAAAACAAACAGTAATGAATTTTGAAACAGCAATTAATGTAAAGGTTGAAGTCCATCAAAAATGTATGAAAGAAGGAAAGAAAATGAAAGAACAAAGTTGTCAAAATTCTTTTTTTTCTCACTGATCTACATTAAGTAATATAATATTTCAGTTTTTTTCTTTTTAATACATTTACAGACATTTCTAAAATTCTGTTTTCCCTTTGTCAATATGGAGTACTGAATGCAGACTAATGAGGGGAAAAAATGAATTTCAACGACTGTAGAAGGCTGCAGCATAACAAAATTGACCAAAGTGAAGGAGATCGGAATACTTTCTGAATGCACTGTACATGTATGTTAAATGCTTTTTTCTGTAACTAATCTTGAATTCTAAGCTTAGCAGAGCATCAACCTATGAATCCTACTTTACCAGTCAATTTTTATTTCATTTTTGACCCTTACCTATAAAGATCTTGATAGAATTCCTACCTTTTTTTTTCTTTTGAGAAAAGAAGGCAGCAAGTTAAGAATACAACTGGCAGATACTCAGGAAAACAGCCAGACCTTCAAGGCTTCTGAAAAACTTAACACTGTTATGGGCAACCTAGACTTGGGTATCATGGTATTCCAAAGGGCAGACATCACAATAGAAAAGGCATAGTTCTTGGAATCTACTAGATTGGGGTGACAAACTCAAGGCCTGGGGGCCGGATCTGGCCACTGAGGTGCTTAAATCTGGCCTGTGGGGCGAGCCTGCAGGGCCTCTGCTGGCAAAAACAGGGCATGGGAGGACCGCATGTGGCCCCGCCTGCCTCTTTTTGGCCAGCAAAGTGCTGCAGAAGGCTGTCCAGGCCAACAATGGGGCATGGGGGATCTTACACAGACCCCTGTGCCCCATTTTGGCTGGCAGGGTACTGTAGGAGGCCGTCCTGGCCAAAAACAGGGTGTGGGGGACTGTGTACAGACCCCCCCCCGTATCCTGTTTTGGCTGGCAGGGTGCTGCAAGAGGTGTCTGTTCCGTCTCCTCCCCCTGCCGCCACCCCAGGCCGGCACGCAGAGGAGAACTACAATGCTGATCCAGCCCTAAAAGAAATCCAGTTTGGCCCCCCTGTACTAGATAGTGAGGATATTGGGCATGCCCCTCCTGTCAGATCCAATGGGTTGAGTAGAAACTATTAAAGAAAGAAATCCTTCAAACATTCTACCCCCATGCCACAAAAAGTTTTAAATTGTGTTCAGAAACATGTTGTGAAGCAAAGATGAAATATTAGCATATTGAGTCATACTCATATTTGCTTTCACCACCACATTCTGGATCAATTGCAGTTTCCAGATGTTCTTCAAGCACAACCTTAAGTAGAGCACATTGCAGTAGTCCACTCAGTAGCTGACCAAAACATGACTGACTATGCATTAGCTTTCGAAGCCGCTGAAGAAGAGAGATATAGAAGTAGAAGTAAGTGATTTAAACAATGTTGTAGTTCCCTCTAATGTTGCTTAATCTATTTTGTATCTAGATTGAATATTTTATGTGGATTGACTCAGTTCAGGACCTCAGGCTAAAAATGGGCAGACTCAGAATCCATTTGTGGAATAATATCAGGGCAAAAAATAAAAAGTCCCCAAGTGCATGGACCAAGCAGGCTACCCTTTTCACTAAATTGTGCTTTTGGCTTTGCATATTGTATGATCATACCAGTGGTGAAATTCTCTGCAGATTGCCACTGGTTTGTTGCCTGTGCATGCGTGGTGTGCGCCAAATGTGTGCTGTGTGTACATGTGCAGTGCGCACTAAAAACGTGTGTATGCAGAAACACACACTTTGCATGGAAAAGGGAGGTTTGGAAATGTAAGTAGAACAGCGAGGGGAGGGAGCAGCTGTGCTGCCCAATTTAGCTTCTCTAGAAAGCAGAATTTCCTGCTAAACCGCGCGGCACAGCTGATCATCGGAAATATCAGTTCAGACGAACCGGCAGTTTTTTAAACTACCGGTTCACCTGAACTGGTATCTTTTTAACCACTGGTTCACCTGAACCGGTAGCTTTTTTTTTACTACCGGTTCATCCAAATCAGTAGCTTTTATCACTACTGGTTCGCCCAAACTGGTGCAAACCGGTAGCATTTCACCCCTGGATTATACCCATGTGTCCTCTGGTCCAACAGCAGTGAGTAACTCAGATATGTGTCATTCCCCCAATCATGGTTAAATGAATCATAGTATGTGAATCCAATTACTATGTACTGGGATTTGAATGGCTAGTCTTTTCTATGTTTTGCTTATTCTCCCAGCTTCTGTTCTTTGTTTGCAGATGATGCCTCATTATTTTTCCTGTGGTGAATATCTGTTTGTTGATGTAAGCTTAGCTTTCACACAGTAGATGTGGAAGGTAGCAAACTCTTGTCTTGGAAAGCTGCTTTGTACCTTTTCTATTATGTATGTATGCAGTGGTATTGTGCAAATACTCATTTTCTCTACATGAAGTTAATTGCAAAAGAAAAACAAACCGATTTGCAAGCTTTTTTCTATGTCTATTCAGAAGCTGAAAGACTGTTGCTTAAAAGGGTGAACACATATGGTTTTAAAAAACAAAATGTTCGCATGACAATTTTCTGACTCAATAAAAAGATTAAGCTTCATTGGAGGCAGCATTTTCCACTAGAGTTGAAGATTTTTTTTTGTTTAGAACAAAAATGTCCCTTAAACCTATTTTTTTTTGTTAAAACAAAAACAGTCCTTCTCTGTAATTAAAACCAGAATAACTCTACAATGTCAGTGTTACATACATTGATGTGGCCTGTATACAGTTACTTATTTTTAAAAGTTTTGTTTTGTTTTTTAATAGACTGATGAAACTTCATAATTGCAACATTTGGAAGAAATTAGTTAACAATAAGGTGCCGGTATAATGAGTGCTGTAGTTTTTGAAGAATACCATTGGGTGTAATAAGCCTTTTCCATATTCTTGATAATGTGACTGGTAATCATTACATCATTACACAACTTCCTAGTCTAGATTTTAATTTATATTTAAATTTATTTTCCAAGTGTTTGATAGACTATTTAGCTATAGTCACTGCTTGTAACTTTCTGTGGAAGGATTTTTCTTCTATTTGAACTCTCAATTATTTTTCTTCTTGAAAATGACATTCTTTTTATATTTGTGCATACTGTATTATTTTAGCACATGATGTCCCCAAATATCCAATATTTTGCAGGACTCTTTTTTATGTGCTAATGTTCCTGTGTTTCTGGAGCACATGCCTCTCAAGGCATGCTCTCAACATAACAAATAAAAGAGGGTATGGTAAAGGTTGGTTAATTGTGTGAAATTGTATGTGCTTTCATAAGTCTCAGTTAAGTACCTTAAATTACTTTAAAAACATCTTTTATTGTACCTCAGCCCATGTGCCTAATAATGTGTAGTAAAGGATAAATTCAGTTTTAATGAATTTAGGATGGACTGAGACATGTTTCTTTTTCTCACGATGTTTACCAAGGCTTAGCTAATATTGATCTTGCAGTCACAGAGTCTGAGCTTAACTTGTAATGCACCTATAAACATTCTGGTGAACATTATAAACCTTTTGTCCTCAGTCCTTACTCTGAAATTATGTTAATGAATTTGAATGACAACAGGTGCTTATAACAATAAATGGGAACGTAAGGATTGCTCACCTCTGCACAACAATGCATGCAAAGAATAAAGTGAGGGAATTCAGATGGATTGAAATTGGATATTTTTAGTGAGAAAATTATACTGTTTGTTATTTAGGACATAAAAAACAGAGAAGGAACAGTGTTTCATAGTCAGGAAGATTAAAGCAAAGACAGAACTTGAGTATAATGCAGTCAGTGACTAAATAATGTCAGTTACACTTTATGGATATCCCTTTAATATGACAGTGTCCTAAATTCATGCTCCAACCATTAATGCAGAAGAAGAAGAAGAGTTTGTTGAGTTTTGAGTTCAAGTTCAATTGGAAATGAACAAAACATGTGATTTAGAGGTCTGCTTTGTGACTGGAGACTAAAATGCCAGAGTTGGAATAATAGGATGGAAAATATCTATCACATAGGAAAAAGAGATGAATTGGGACAGTGACTTCAGTTTCTGCCAATCCAATCATTTCTTGATTGCTAATGTAATTTTCAAAATGAAGCCTATATACTTCCTCATAACATGAAATACATAGAAATCAAACTAGTATATTTTTGTACAAAAGGGCAGAGGAAATCAATTACACTGCTGCAATCTTGCAAGACCCGGCCATGAATGGAGTGTATGGGTTTTTAATGTTTTTTTAAAACAACTTTTATGGTATATTGTTCGCATCATTTTTTGTTGTAAGCCGCCCAGAGTCCCCGGGGAGTTGGGCGGCATAGAAATGCAACAAACAAACAAACAAATAAATAAATAAATAAATAAATACATACATACATACATACATACATACATACATACATACATACATACACGCACTGTTAGATCCAAGGATAGCTTCTTGAAAAAGAGGGGAGACCATTTCCTCTTCCTGAAAAGAAGTATTGCTCATGGCTTGGACCAGTAATGGGTTTCACTTACCTTCGCTACCGGTTTGGAACTGGGAGCGTGTGTGCGTGTGTGCTTGCTTTGCTTGCACACGGCACTTCTGCACATGCGCAGAGCATCTGTGATGATGTGCGGGTGGGTGGGCAGAGCCTCCCACTGCCACCACTACCGGTTCGCCCGAATCGGGGCAAAACGGTAGAAACCTACCCCTGACTTGGACCTATGGCATGGGTGTCAAACTCGCAGCATCACATTGCCATCACATGATGTAGCGCAATGTTTCTTCCTTTGATGGAGTTGGGATGAGTGTGGCCTGTGCATGACACATCTGTCCCAGAGGCTGCCAGTTTGACACCCCTGCATGGGGTCCATAATCACAAAGAGTCTTCACAGGTGCAAACTTATCCACAACACGCCATTGTCACAGGCTCATTCTAACTAACCACAGCTAACATATTGTTTGAACCAAGATTTGGGAATAGTCCCAAATCCATCAATCAATTAATCTTGGTGGATGAAACAGGAGTTTCATGTCTGAATTCACAACCTTCTTCAAAATTATGAATGAGCTGAACAGGAAATATTCTTTAGGTCTAGACATTTATGATCTTTATGATTCTAGACATTACTTATTAATATCTACTTAAGTAGAGTATTTATATTTTTGCAGGTACAATAATAATGTAGAATGTGTTTCACTTCCATTAATAGCAATTTCATTTTGGATCCTGTGATTAGGAAGATAGGAAAAATGTTAGCAGCATGTCAAATCGTTGATCAATTATCTTCCATAAGAAAGGTGGGGGATTTTTTCTGCATTTTTTCCTCTGTGACCAGTAGACAAACCCAACCCATTTTTTGAAATTAGGTCTTTCTTTTTTGGCTTCTTTACCATCATATATAGCAAAATTGGTCATGTTCTTTTTTCATGGTGGATGGGCAGAATTGATTCCCTTTATCTAATTAAATAAAAATATCTATTTTTTTCCAACATTCCATTGACTTGGAATGAAAAAACAAAGAG